CACAAATCAAAAAAACACACACACAATGGGCAAAACCCCTCAATTCTCCTGCAAAATGAAACTTTACATTTAAAACAATGTTATTTCTTCTCAAAATGGTATTTTGTTTTCAAATGACATGCACAAACCATCATATGAATAGACATTTATAAGAACCAGTTGAACACTGATGTGCTCAATGTAAAACACTATGATGAATGGAAAACACTTCTTCTCCATTCATCATAATGTCTTAGGCCTTTGTTTTGTTCAGTGTTACACTTACTACAGACAGTACATACATAAGTGTGTTGTAAAATATTTGAGAATATTGTTTTTATATTCAGAACACACAAATACACGGTAACAAATATATTTTAATTTTCCCACAAAAACAATGTACACAGTGTACATCCCAACCAACACAAAGTTGTGCGTACAGTGGTCTACATACAAAACAAAAATTTACTGTATACAGTTACAGTAAAAAAACAAAAAACAAAAAAAACTATGCTGCATCCTCTCTTCTGTTTTGGTCTTTTATGCTAAAGCTCTGATTGCTAATTGTAAAGCTGTGTGACATGTGTTTGCCCATGTGACGAGTCAGTGTGCATATTTGAATGGCAGTGTGTTCCTTGTGAAAACAAGAGATTTTCTGCATGAAAATTGTGCCAAAAGCAGAGAATTGTGTGTAGTGTTTTGAAAAAAGTGTGTTATAGAACTGCAATTTGAGTGTAAAGCAGGAATTGTGCTTGTAGTTTAGCAAAATTGGTTCAGGGGGTTGGTGCATGAGTTACATGTTGTGGTCATTGTGTCTCAAGTACCAGTATTTGTGTGTAAACAATTGAGAAAAACTGTAAAGTGCTCAAACTCTGGCGGTCATTTTGCTTAAAAGGCACATAAATTTGAGTGTCGTCAGCATAGTAATGAAACGACACTGTTTATTAAAAATGTACCCCAATGGGAGCAATTATAAAGAGAATAAAATGGGAGCAAGGATAGATCCTTGAGGAACCCCACAAGTCAAAACTGATTTAGAGGATGAGCACCCATCCACACAGACTGAGAAGTTTCTACTATTCAAATATGAATTGAACCAGTTTAGGGCACAACCTTTTATACTTACTACAGAGTTCAAGGCGGGAAATAAGAATACTGTGGTCTATCGTGTCAAATGCAGCAAAAGTACTACCGAATTACCAGAATCAACAGAACAGGAAAGAGCAGACTCAGTTCTATGAAATGTCTTCAAGTATGATTTGCAATTGTTTTTGATTAAACTGGCAAACATGGACTTGAGGGATGTTTTCCCATTCTACAAAGCAGTTTTGAGAGCATAGACTTCAGTTTGTAAGGTTAATAGGGTTCTCTCAAATATTGGACTTTGGACAGAGAATGAACCTCTCTTTAATAACCTGCTGATACCAGCACAGGCACTGGAGCCCAGGAGCATACAGAATGTAATGGCAAGAATGGGGTGTACAAGAATTGCTGACCTAAAGATTGGTGCAAACTGGAAAAGTCCAGAGGAAATGTACAACAAGACAGGCTTCAAGTCTATAAGGATTATAAAGAAAATAATGCACGGAATTGTTTCAGCATTACCTTCTGTCTTTAGACATAGCTCCGAGGAAAACGAAGTTCCTTAACAGAACAGAGGGAGTCATTTTCCCCAAGTGGAGATTTCAGCAGCAGTGGATGTAGAGCCAGAGGAAGGTTCTCTTCTAAATTTCAGGACTCCTGTGCTGGAAGATTTAGGGACTGTTTCAAAAAAGGCCGTATATAATATTTGTGTGAAAGTGTCTCACTACAAAATACCCAAATATTGCTGTAAAGTTTGGGAATGTTTGATTCAGAAAATGTGTTACCAGGATGGTGTGTCTATTAAAACACAGGGGTCCAGTACTCAGTCCATACTCATTTATTGTAACAGATCGTGAATCAGGCCATAGAGTAGAATGGGAATCAGATATAGAGTTGTATGATTTATTGCCAGGAACACATCAACTCTACAAAGGCTCTCATTAGGAAAGAATGTCCTTTTTGTGGTACTAATGAGTCAATAGTAGGGTTGGGTACCGAAACTCGGTGCCAATAGGGAACCGGTTCCGACGTAAATGGTAGTAACCAGACCGAATAAGAACATAGGTTACACCAGTAACCAGATATGTTCTCTTTCATAGGTTCACTCAACGCTGCGTAGCTAAAAAGCAGTGGATTTGTAGGCTGCTGTATTACGTGCCGTTTGAACTGACGCGCTACAGCGATCTGTCACATTTCAAAGAGCCAAAACGTTATTTATTGTGTGAATCTCGTAAAAATATTGACAGAATCTGACAGCTGTGGATTTGTTCCATATCAAAAGTAACCTTCTCTGTCTTGTCTGTCGGTGTCCTCTTTGTCCGCGATTTTTCTCTGCGTGAGAAAATGGATGTGTGGCGTGAGAGCGTGTGAAAAGGGTCAATTGCACGAGTCTCACGGTCAATGCGTGAGAGTTGGCAGCTCTGCTAGTAATCTCTATTAATCTCCAGTATTACATTGTTTGATACAATATTGGTTTATTTGATATTATGTAAATGTGTAAAATGTAATGTAAAAATTTGTATTTTATATTGGTTTTATTATTAACATATGTTACTTGTATTTATATTGTTTAAAGATTTAAGTTAATATTGTGTCCAGTTTGGCCCTGTAAATAAAAGGGTATTATTTTTTGATAAAGTGTGTGCGGTTTCGTTTTCTTAAGTACCGTTTCAAGAACCGTTTAAGCACCGGAACCGTTTAAAAAATACCGAGTAGGTACTGGTATCGGATAAAACCCAACCGATACCCAACCCTAGTCAATAGATCATTTGTTTTTAAATTGTTTAAGGTTAAGAGGATTGTTTCAGATCTTTGAAGGGTGGGTTAGAGATTTGGGGGTAGTTTTTAATAATTAAATGACCAAAATATGTTGCATCAGACGTTATCTCACAACCAATTCAAACGAATTCGTACGAGTGAGTAAAATGTGACTTATTCGTACGATCATTCTAAACCCTATAGGGGCGGGGTCAGAGGTAGGTTATTCGTTCCATAGATATCCATAATAAAGGCTAGATGTCTCGTCCGCGCTGCTGGCCAATGGAGGTCGACGTCCGCACCTGGCGGCCATCTTGTCACAGGCAGCTCGCTCACTCGTAACATTGTGTTTTAATGGTGCATGTACTTTTTAAATAACCATAACTTGCTCAATTTTCTACCGATTTTCAAACGGTTTGGTTTGTTATAAACGTCAGAGATGTAGTTATGACACTGCATACTTATGAATAATAAGTGTGTAAATAAATAATCATCCAGAATTATAGCCACGTTAATAACGTTTGTAAGAAACAAACCGTTTGTAAATCCGTCAAGATTTCAACGAGATAAGAGTATTTGTGTTCGTGCTGATCACTCATCTTACATCAGGTACCACAGAGCCCGCCAGAAAGCTTGCCTGTGACAAGATGGCCGCCGGTGATGACGATAGAGACTCCGCCGTAAGATATCTAGCCTTTATTATGGATATCTATGATTCGTACGAAGTCATACGAATTAGGCAACTCGTAAAATATGTAAGATTTTTGCTAAATCGTACATATTTTACGAGTTGCCCAATTTGTATGCAAAAATCGTACAAATTCGTACGAGTGAGGTCATATGAATTCGTACGAATTAGCCACCTCGTAAAATGCGTACGAATTGTCGTGAGATCAGGTTGAAAAAATCACGTTAATTAATTTTGTGGTAGGAGGAGCAAAGATGGCAATATGGTTAACACGGAAAAGGAAATTGAAAGGAGAGGGGGAAGTAGGTCCTGAGGTTGTTTTAAAGGCTTTTAGAATCAAGGCAAGAGTTTGCACATTTTAAAATGCCCCTATTATGCTATTTTAAAGGCTCCTTATTTTGTTTTGGAGGTCTCCTACAACAAGTTTACATGCATCAAAGGTAAAAAAAACTGTTTCATTTTCTCATAATATACACATTTTTCAATGATTCTCAAACAATTTGATGGATGAATCAATCTCTCTAAATCCCTCCTTTCCACGAGCTACTCTGCTCTGATTGGCCAGACAGCTCAGTCTGTTGTGATTGTGATTGGTCTACTGCATGCAGCAAGTGTTTTGTGAATCCCGGTTAAACTCCAAGATTTGAGAAGCAGTCTTTAGTAAAATGAAGGGACTATAGCAAAGGTTTGGGATTAAACTACTGTGGTATCTTGATAAAGATGAAATTTAACCTCTGATTCTTCACAGCCTCATCCTTTGGAAGTGAAAATAAACCGAAATTACTTTCACAGCGGAGAGCACAGCGTCTTGACAACATGATATCCACACAAATGAGCATACAGCAAGATGTCCTGTCCATGCAGAACAGGCTGGCATTATGCAAATGTAGTAAGTTGTGACGTTTGAATAACGAAAATAGATTTGAATTCCAAACGACTCCAAATAGGGGCACTTTAAACTGACGAATAATCTGTACAGATTTATTGAAATTTGGGCTTTGAATGATGTTTTGTGCACAGTGGATCATGAAAACGAGCTGCTATTAAATTTATGATGAGTTTTTGTGACTGATAAAAAAAGTTTAAATGAGGATTGTAAAATTGTATTCAATAATTTGCTAAATTTATGATAGGTTTTGTGTGGGTATATATGCGTATGTATGTACATTTGAGAAAATAGATATGTGTCTGAGATTTGTATTTATTTATTTATGTATTATTATTATAGCTAGTTAATATTATAATAATATTATTATAGTTAATATTATAGTATTATAATTATTATATATATATTCTAATTAATTATTATTTATGTAAATCTAAAGTTTGTTATGGTTAAATATTGGTTGTGGTATGTCTATACAGTGTTATTATAAATAAAGGTGTGTTAAAGGCCCCCCCCCCCTCCCCCTCCCCTCTCTCTCTCTACATTTAGTGACAAACCTGTGAGCCTTTTGTTGAAATGTTAGCCAATACAGACGGATTACGCCACTAGGCAGCAGCGATATATAAAGGGGGCTGTTAGCCGCATTTGTACAGTTGAAAAAGACATGCTTAGGTATCAACAGTGAAGCAGGTAGCTGGTAAAAAGATTTGAAAACACAAATAGAAATGCATTAAGGAACGTTTTTACATTTTATAGCCGTCGCTTTGTCCGTAAAATGGAATACATCATCTCCTGAAAAGCGTCTTTATTCCTGTTTTAGATAGCTAATTCGTTGCTCGAATAAAATTTCTCAAGATAAAAACAACAGTGTCTCGCAACGCCACGAGGAAAACATTTGGTCCTGACCATTTAACATCATGACAAGGTATAACTTTTTATTGTGCTTAACGGTTCTTATTTCTTTGGGACTGTCCGGGAGCGATGAGCCGGACCTCTTTCTGCCCCCAGTGAGCGAGATGTCCTCGGATTCTGGAGTCTCTCTTTTTGATGTGGAGGATGCGGACTCTCCTGAGTGTTCCGCGTGCGTTTGGAGAGAACAGAGCAAAGTCTTACGGCTGGAAACAATCAAATCACAAATCCTTAGCAAACTGCGCTTAAAACAAGCGCCCAACATCAGCAGAGAGGTGGTTAATCAGCTTCTTCCCAAAGCACCTCCGCTGCAACAGCTCCTGGACCATCATGACTTCCAGGGGGACGCATCCTCCCTAGATGATTTCTTGGACGCCGATGAGTATCACGCCACCACCGAGTCTGTCATCACCATGGCCTCAGAGCGTGAGTTACAAAACTTACAATTGTTCAGTTGTTTAAGTTATACCGCTTAAGATAATGTCCGTTTAATCGAAAACACGCTCAGTGTTTTTTGCTTCCTTTAAATGAATTTATAGCCTACGCAACTATTTAAAAGTAGTGTCAAATTGCCTTTTATTTATTTTAATATGGTATAAGCGATATTGCGTATGGGTGGTCATGAAATACATGGATTCATAAAAAATACAGTGCACAAAAGTAGCCTAGGCTAGCTATGTCTAAATATTTTTAAAGTATTTTATTATTTATACAAAGATATTTACACATATAGCCTACAAATATATTTTGTAATCTATGAGTGATCATTTTGAAAGCCGTCTTCACATGGTTGCGTCCGTGTAATAATTCAATAATGACAATGTAATTTAAGCCATGACAGGCAGATGCGCTGAATAGCCACGTTCGAACACATTATAGCCTACTAGATTGTGTTCAAAATAAACAGCAGTAGCCTATTGCAGCAGATTATTAATTAGAGAGTTGCATTATAAATGATGCGCTTTAAAAGCAGTTGTGTCATAACCGTATTGCACAAGCAGGTTCTCCTGTCGTTAGACTCTGCTAGAAAAAGTGTCCCAAAATACTATTGTTCCCCCTAAATAAGCAGCAGTGCCATACGACAGCACTTGCCTTTTAAATGTGAGGTTTATAGGCATAGCCCGTTTTTTCACCTCAGTGGGGACACAAAGCCCGTGGAGGAGTTTTGGGTCGAGGGGAGTGTGTGACCTTTCCGCTGAGAATAGCCGGGGTTCAACAACATTTACACACATAATGTATTCCGCACAAGGCAGATGAAAAGCCAAGCAAATAATCCGTTTTTTTTTCTGACCAGACTGAACAAAGATAGGTTTGTGTTCCCCTAACTAACCTCTGCGTTGATTGTCACACAGCCCACGTTCCCGCTGGCACAATGAACACGCTTGACATTCAGGGGACGAATCACATAAATGATCATTTAACGGCTGCAGAGCTCATAGATGCCTTTTATAAATAGCGTTTTGTTGTCAGAGATTATTGTTGTAGCGGTGCAGTATGAGAGCAGCATGAAAAACTGATTTATTAGTCATTTATGATGGTTTAACGAGTGCATTTGCCCATGTATTTAAAAGCAAGCACTAACTTTTTGAAATTTTAACTTAGATTTTAAGGTCTTATAAGTTATATTGTAGTTCCAATCATCTTTTTAAGTTTATGTAGAGGATTCTTGTTGTTTCTTAATCTAAAAGTTCTATTGGATATTGTAGTGCAGGCCTAATCTTTAACAGAAGCCTTGTTGTGTTGGAATAATGTCTACTGATGAATTCAAGGAAATCTCAATAGGAACTATTAGAGTTTTAAAGTCTTTTAAATTAATTTTACCTTTCAACATCTTTTGATGTCCTACAGGGATTATACATGTCTAATAGTTTGATTTAGAATGTTAATTTTATACCTATAAAATACCAAAATATTTGTTTTCACTTAAAGGTTAAATTAAATATCATACAAATTAAACGATCTTCCCAGTTTTGATTTGAACATTTTCATACTTTGTAGTTTTTTACAGTATATCTTTACTTCTTTTTTTCATTATTTTTCAGCAATCCTTGTTTCTTCTGCTTCCCTCTACCATCACTGTATTCTTGATCGTCTCCCAATCACTTTGTTTAAAACATATGCACTCAAACCACCAAAAATAAGTGACTAATAATATAGTACATATCAAATTTACGATATTCAATTGTGAAATAGACACGGTACTCAAAACATTGCTGCTCAAGTAAGTGCAATGGAAAGTGCCAAGTATTAAAATAAGATTTCCCCACTGTTACCAGCTTATATTTTGAGTGTCAGATATTGTGTTGGAGATTGTGTTTAGATGTTGCACTGGTAGGTTTTGCTCTGTCTCTGTTCTGAATTTGACAGTGTACATGCAAGAGTAGAAAATCGACCCTTGGAACTCATTTGTCACTTGTCTATTTAGAACATATCTTCCTCCCTTGTCAGTGTGCTTTCATAACAGTCAGTGTTTTTTGTTTTTTTGTTTGTCAGTAATTTGTCGGCTTACACCCTCAACCCCCCTCCCACACAATCACCTACCAATCTCCCTTCTACATCGATTTCACTGACTTGTTTAACTAATTTGTGCTAAAATACATTTCCAAATGGTGGTCACTATGCTCTGCTAATGGCCTGAAAGTTATAAGAGGATGAATTACCACAGAAATAAAATTTAAATTGCCATAACTTCTCTTTTTGTTCAACAAATATTTTACTCTGTAGTACACTCCCAAAGAAACACATTCATCAAGTCAGAGAGGAAAAGGCCTCCTATTGACAAGAAGGGTCAGAGAGTTCACAGCAATGTGATATATTGGATGAGGAGCCAATTAACCTCTTCAGGTCTTTTTCTTTGACCGCAAAAGAGAAGTAGTAGATTAAACACTACTACCCCCACCTAAAATGTCAAAAAGGACGGGTAGGAGATTAAACAACACTACCAAATGCTGCCTCCCCCACCTAAAATGTCTCTTTCTCTCTCACACACAAAGTCACATGCAGACTTATATACACACACATTCACAAACACTAACCCACTAACCACTCCCAACTAGAAAAAAACCCAAAGGTCTTTTATTGTGTTGACCCTATAAAAGGGTAATTTCCTGAAGGTGCAGGAACCATAAACATTAGGAGAGAGAATGCTAAAAAGACAAGACGGTTGTCCGACCATCCTCTGATCAATGGGAAGTGTGTGGGAAGTTTTTTTTTAACTATTAATTAACCTTGTGAACACCTGTGTCTGAGACTACTTTCATTCTTTCCTGTTCAAGAGGATGAAAGAGGGATAGAATAAAGGAAGAAAGCAAGCTCATGTTGAAAACTTTTCCTTTCCTGTTTTGTAAACATAAAATAAAAAGTGAAGAAGTTAAAGTGCTGTAGAAATAACACTAAATGTAGTCCATTTTTTTGGGTGGGTGGGGTGGGGTGGGGTGGGGGTTGGGGGGGGGGCTAATAAACGTTCAATGGAACTGAAGTCTATTATACCCTGGGTACAATTTCACTGCTCTCTCAAGAATGCCTCTCTTTCTTTCATTCATTCTCTTTCCTCTTCCCACGGTTCAGTGCTTCTCCTCCACTACTGGAGCAATTCCAGACCCAGACAAGCAGGTACTGAAGTCATCATATGCAACAAATAAAACTGTAGATTTGAACATAATAAATACAGCTCTTTACAGTTAAAAATTATATACATATATACTGACAACTCAAAAGTTGTGTAGTATTTTGTAGCAAACTTAAAATATTTAAGGACTATGTTATAAAGCTCTTCATAGAGTCAGAAATGTAATACCTTCAAACTAACTCTTTAAAGACAAGATTTAAAGGTTGCACACAGAACATAATACATCTGAACGTGATCTATAATTTGATGGTGATGAAATTGAGGCACTATTATAGTTAACAATTGGAGAAATGCTTTTGCTGTATATTTCACTAATACATTTCTCTTGCATTGGGATTGTTGAGGAAGAGGGCATTTTGGGTATTGTCTGGTAATTTGTAACCAGCATCATAGCAATTGCAACCACCAGAGAGTATCCAGAAACTCCAGACTTTCCAGGAATGTGTTTAAATATGCGGTTAAATATGAAACACTAAAAATAAAAATTTTAGTTCTTTCTCTCATTACAGACGTTAACAGTCTTGTTGTCCGATAAAACAAGGCTGACTATTTGACCAATTTTCAAAGATGAATCACAACATTACAAACTTTTATTTCAAGCACAAAAATTATATGTAAGTTTACAATATTGTGATTCATCTCCTGGATGGTTTGGTTAATGGTTTATAACACGTAAACAAAGACTTAAAAAATCCCTATGGGAGAAAATGAATGGAAAAAATAATTTTGCAGCTGGGCACTGTTGCCAGAGGTTTACATGTGTGAATCGATGTGGTATTAGAATGTAATGACCAGTTGTTTAGCAACAAACAACCAATCAAAAAGTGAACAACATTTGCATCATTAAATACACATTGTAAAGTCACAGAAACTTTCACATGCTTTATTTCGTTTCTACATTTGAGTGAAAAATATTCTACAAATTGAACTGAAGAAGAGAGAAGACAAGGCTAACGCCTTTAAACAGGCTGTTTGCTTTGTTCATCTAGTCAATGATACTGACATGCATAGACATATGCAAATGCATGATCTCATGAGTTTTTGTGAGTATTTTTTACATAAAGTGTGGTTCTACCACACTCGTACATTTACTTACGTTTTCACACACATTGTAACACATTATCGACGAATTGGCAGATAAAATCCTCTACATTCAATTTCATTTAATCTCCTACCGTATCAGAGAGAAATGTAGGACGTTGATCTGCCAGTTGTGGGTCTTTCATGCAGAGAACTCTCCTCATGTGTTTGCAATTTGCATAATAATGCATTTAAAATCTAATGGCCAAACGTATCATTACAAGTTCACAATGCTGTTTCATATAATGTGGATAACATTGAATATTGAAATGTATTTTCGCCAGGTTAGATACTGATAATTAATCACTCAAACCCCCTTATCTAATGGTGCATTCAAGTCCTCCTGGGAAGTCGTGTTTACGACGTCAGGTACATCAAGTCACTTGTCGGAGCAAGATGGCGTTGTACCTTATTTAACTACACAAAAATACAGCACGGTTTTTAAACTCTACTTCTAGAAAATTAAGAACAAAGAATGTGTATCAGGTGTGTTTTGCCTTTTAATGTTTTTAATTAATTTATGAAGCCACTGTAAACTTATTGTTACATATTATATTGTTTTATGACAATGATGTTATATTTTGTGCAGGAATTAGTTTATTTTGTTGTAAATAAAAAAGCTTGACAATGTCACGGCTAATTACCCAATACTGTGGTATTCCGCCACGTTTCTCATTGACATACCCCCAAATCGGAAAGATCAGGGCTTAAAGAAAAT